CTAGGTAGCTGTGGGAGTCGGTGGGCTTGAAATGAATATCGGTTTCTAGGTGGTTGCCCGATATGGAGACAGAGAGGTCCAGGAAGGGGAGAGAGGTGTTAGAGATGGTCCAGGTAAACTTAAGGTTGGGGTGGAAGGTGTTAGTGAAGTGTATGAACTGTTCGAGCTCCTCGTGGGAGCACGAGGCGGCGCCGATACAGTCATCAATGTAACGGAGGAAGAGGTGGGGTTTAGGGCCGGTGTAGGTACGGAAGAGGGATTGTTCCACGTAACCTACAAAGAGGCAGGCGTAGCTTGGGCCCATGCGGGTACCCATGGCTACCCCCTTTGTCTGTAGGAAGTGGGAGGAATTGAAAGAGAAGTTGTTGAGTGTGAGGACAAGTTCGGCTAAGCGGATGAGGGTCGGTGGGTTTGTAATGGATATTAGTGGCCAGTCTATCCCCAGAAATGGAAACAGAGATGTCAAGGAAGAGAAGGGAGGAGTCAGAGATAGACAGGTGAAAGTGAGGGCAGGGTGGAAATTGGAGGCGAAATCAATGAACTTTTCCAATTCCAGACGAGAGAGGGAAACGGTATCGATGATATCATCAATATAGCGGAGAAAGAGTTGTGGGTGGGGGCCTGAATAGGACTGGATCAAGGAATGTTCCACGTACCCCATGAAGAGACAGGCATAACTAGGGCCCATGCGGGTACCCGTCTGACCATGAAGAAAATGAGAGGAGTTAAAAGAGAAGTTGTTAAGGGTGAGGATGAGCTTGGCCAAGCGGAGGAGGGTGATGGTAGGTGGTGGATGATGGAGACTGGAGCAAAGACCTGAACCACCCCGCTTGTCCTAGGATGGCTACGAGGCTATGTGCCTAAGAGAGACACCAATTTGACTGGGACAACGTAGCCATCCTAGGACAAGCCAAGCAAAGACAAGCACAGGAATTCCTGGAGGCCTGGCACTCAAACCGGAACCACATTAACAAACATGTAGAGCTGGACCCCATATACCAACCACTAAGGAACAAATTCCTAAGTGATGCCACCCACCCCAGCAAACTGAGACACATAAATAACAAGTGGGACAGAACACCAATGCTTCACCGGAGGTACACTGATGATTTTACATCGTATGGTGATGAAATGTTTGCGAACAAACTTACCAGCTTGGCGAGCAAGTCAATAACCGCATTATGTTTTTTGTTCCTCGATGGAACCTTGTCTTCTGCACCAAATAGTCACAGTCAATATTAACCAAGAGATTACGTTAGTGCTCATTCACATTTGTGACAACTTGTGGAATAGTGAGGCCTGATTTCAGTACAGTCTCCCTATTAGAGCCAAGACAGTGCAATTGGTGGGGGATCCAGCTGAGGATTTTCTGAAAGTGACAGACTAGAATCACTGAATTATTGTAGTGCAGATGGAGGCCATTTGGCCCATCATGCCTGACTTGACTTTATTACCTAGAGCCAATCCCCTGTCTTTTCCCCATATCCCTGCATTCCATTTCGATCCAAATCATCATCCAATGCTTCTTGAATGTTTTAATTGAACCTGCTTCCACTACATTTCCAAGCAGTGCATTCCAGAACATAACTACTCACTGTGTGAAAATGCTATTTGCTCACATCACCCTTGTTTCATATGTGCATCTCTTAAGTCTATGTCCTCCTGGTCTTTTATCTTTGACAGCTTCTCATGATATACTCTATCCAACCCACTGTTGATTTTTAAACATGTATCGAATCTCCTCTGAGCCTTCGTCTCTCCAAGAAGAAAATCCCAATCTCTTCAATCTATCCTCATATCTGAAGTTTCTCATTCCTGGAATCATTCCAGTAAATTGCTTCTACACTCTCTCCAGTGTATTCACATCTTTCCTATGATGTGGCACCCACAACTGGGTACAATACTCCAGCTGAGTTTTAACAAGTGTCTTGTACAAGTTCACCATCACCACCTTGCTCTATTACTCTCTGTCTCTATTGATAAAGCTGAGTACACTGTATATCTGATTAACTGCTCTCTCCATCTGTCCTGTCACCTTCAATAATCTGTGCACAAAATGGCCCAGGTCCTTCTCCTTCTGCATCCCTTTTAGAATTGCACCCTCTATTTCATATTGTGACTAGTGGTGTACCTCAAGGATCTGTCTTGGGGCCACTGCTGTTTGTCATTTTTATAAATGACCTGGATGAGGGCGTAGAACGATGGATTAGTAAATTTGCGGATGACACCAAAGTCGGTGGAGTTGTGGATAGTGCGGAAGGGTGTTGCAGGTTACAGAGGGACATAGATAAGCTGCAGAGCTGGGCTGAGAGGTGGCAAATGGAGTTTAATGCGGAAAAGTGTGAGGTGATTCACTTTGGAAGGAGTAACAGGAATACAGAGTACTGGGCTAATGGTAAGATTCTTGGTAGTGTGGATGAGCAGAAAGATCTCGGTGTCCATGTGCATAGATCACTGAAAGTTGGCACCCAGGTTGATAGCGTTGTTAAGAAGGCGTACGGTATGTTAGGTTTTATTGGTAGAGGGATTGAGTTTCGGAGTCATGAGGTCATGTTGCAGCTGTACAAAACTCTGGTGCGGCCGCACTTGGAGTATTGCGTACAGTTCTGGTCACCGCATTATAGGAAGGATGTGGAAGCATTGGAAAGAGTGCAGAGGAGATTTACCAGGATGTTGCCTGGTATGGAGGGAAGGTCTTGAGGCTGTTTTCGTTAGAGAGAAGAAGGTTAAGAGGTGACTTGATAGAGACATACAAGATAAGCAGAGGATTAGATAGGGTGGACAGTGGGAGCCTTTTTCCTCGGATGGTGATGGCTAGCACGAGGGGACATAGCTTTAAATTGAGGGGTGATAGATATAGGACAGATGTCAGAGGTAGGTTCTTTACTCAGAGAGTAGTAAGGGCGTGGAATGCCCTGCCTGCAAAAGTAGTAGACTCGCCAACTTTAAAGGCATTTAAATGGTCATTGGATAAACATATGGATGATAATGGAATAGTTTAGGTTAGATGGGCTTCAGATTGGTTTCACAGGTCAGCGCAACATCGAGGGCCGAAGGGCCTGTACTGCGCTGTAATGTTCTATGTTCTATGTTCTATGTTCTTTCAATCTTCTTCCCATCAAACTGCATCACCTCGTAGTTCTCTACGTTGAGCCTCACCTACCACCTATCTGCCTATTCCACCAACTAGCCAATGTCTTTTTGGATTTCCACGCTGTCTTCCTCATAGCTTACAATTCTTCCAAGTTTTGTGCCATCTGCAAACTTTGAAATTGTCCCCTGTACACCTAGATCCAGGTCATTACTTTTTTTTCCTTATAGCATCGGAGGCTGAGGGGTGACCATATAGAGCTTTATGAAACCACAATGGGCATAGAGAAGGTGAATAACCAAGATCTTTTTCCCAAGTTAAGGGAGTCCAAAACTAGAAGGCATAGGTTTAAGGTGAGAGGGGAAAGATGTAAAAGGGATCCTGAGGGCAACCTTATCATACAGAAGTTGGGACAAAAATGAAATAGTAGAGCCACAACGTTTAAAAGATATTTGGACAGGTGCATAGATAGAAAGGTTTAGAGGCATATGGGCCAAACACTGGCAAATGGGACTAGTTCACTTCAGGAGACCTGGTTGGCATTGATGGGTTGGGACGAATGACCTGTTGCTGTGCTGTATACCTCTATGACTTTATGATTCTATATCAGGAAAGTAAGTGCCCCAATACTAAATCTTGGGAACTCAACTACAAACCTTCCTTTTGCCTGAAAAATTATCCATTGAGCTTTTCCCTCTGTTACCTATCACTCAGCCTAATTTTGTATCCATGGTGACAATACTGTGGCTTTAACAGGTATGAGGTTGTTGACTTGCTCGCTGAGCTGGCTGGTTTTCATTGAGACATTTCATCACCATGTTAGGTGACATCATCAGTGAGGCCTCCGATGAAGCGATGTTATTCCACTCCGTTT